TATATAACGCTGCACTGTCTTTCCTGTGTCTGTCGTTCGTGTATAATTTACAACGGCGTCGCCTCGACTGTTCGTCTCGTTCCGTTTGGTTGCAGTTTAACGACAAACTTTGAAATTTTTCGAAGTTTTATTATGCGCGCGAGCAGGGGAGACAGAGAGAGAAAGAGAGAGAGAGAGAGAGAAAAAAAAAGAATAATTCACGTCGATCTGGTCAAACGAAAAAAAAACAGAACAAAGGAAAAATATGAAATGTTGTCGCGATATATTAAAAAGGATTTTCCCGCGTTTGTATGTATCGCGGGCTAACTCGCGAGGGACAGATTTATGGGCAATATCCTCCGCGACGGAAAATTCGGGGCGATAAAGGGCGCCGCGTACGCCAGTGCAAATATTTTTTTTCGGGCTCTCGCGTAGAGAATATCGCGATCGATATTTCCGCGCCGGAAATCACGGCGTAATACGTTCGTGAGTGTTTCCGGGCGTTTCCATGCATCTCGGCAGGCTTGTCACTCTGTCTTCTCGCGACCTTGTTTTCTCTACCCCCACGTCGTGTCCCGTCAGCGTTCGCGATTCCGCGTTTTTCTCGCTGGCGTAAATTCAATCGGCCGATTTTCCCGCGGGAAAGGCCGTTGCTTTAGCCCCCTCCTCTCTACGGGACACGATAGTGCCGTTGTATATAAAATAAAATGAAGGAACACCGAGCACGAAACCGAACGCTCTTTTTCATCGCTTCGGACCGCGTCGCGTTTTGTTTCGGCGCGCCCCTCCTACAGCTGGGGGTTTTTACCGAGGAAAATTTATCATCGGCGCCAGCGAGGCGTTTTACGACAGTGTCAAGTTCCAGCTTTGACTAGAAACAATAGACAGACACGTCGGCAAACTCGCGTAGCGCGTATGAAAAATTCAACGTTAGAATTATAAATCGTTTGATCAGGCACGTCTGACCGCGTGAAAAAATAACGGCGCGAGATGTCCAAGAGATGGATAGATTGATAGAAGCATTTATTTTAGTCCTAGAATATATTCTCTGAACATATGTAGTTACATATGTAATTACAATAAAGCATAATGTGAGCAAGAAGTAATATTTATGATAATTTTATCATTTTAAATTGATATATTTAACGTACACTGCGAAAAATAATTATCAGTATAAATATTTATTAGTAGATTAAATTTTTTTTAATTATGTACATATAGCATAAAATTAAATCTAAGGAGATATACAAGCAAAAGAAAGAGAAAGAAAGAGCGATACAAGCGCAATTTGCAGATCATAAGTTTCTCTCTTTCTCTATCTTCGAGCATTTACGCACCGGTCTAACCCGTCGTGTCAAAAGTGCAACGAACCCGTTATTAATCTCTAATCTTTATTACTAATCTCTACGGCGCGCTAACTGGAACAAATTGATATGATCACGCGAGCCCGCCGTCCATTCATCGAGGGAAAAAATTTTTCGCGATCGAGCTAATCGCATCGATTCACCTCTATTAACGGCCTTCGCCTTTCGAATCCGCCGCATCTGAGACGCGACGTTATGCCGCGTTATCATCGTCATCGTGTCGCGCTGAAAGCGGCGGGAACGGGAAATTGGGACGCGAAATTACGTCGAGCTGATTTCAACGAGATTCACGAACTCTTTCTTCTCTGCTTCACGAAAATAGCGAAACGCGCGGAATACAAGCGAAGCCTAAATGGGAATTAATTAAGAGGGGACGTCAAGGCAGCCGGAACTCAATTCACGCTACGCAGCGAAATATGAAATTTAATTTGTACGTCCGCGCGCGTGCGACGAGCCTGAGAAATTTCGGAACTGCTATCTCGCGTTAAAGATTTCAAAAAAGAAAAAAAAGTAAAACCCATAATAACGTCTTGTCTCAACGATCGTCGCGATTGATGATAACACGATGTCCTCGTGAAATCCATACTTAAGGTAAACCGATTACACAATGTAATCGCCAAGAGTGACATAACGTTCTTGAATACCTCTCGAGTCGCATTTTCGCGAAACGACGCGTCGTTACTTCTCTTGCTCACAATTCCGTCTGAGTCGCGCGCGAAATTCTGTGCCGACAACGGCACTGTATTTCCGACGAATCGCCGGATCTAATAGAACTCGACACGCGGGCGGAATGCGGGATCTATTTGCGGCGTTAAATGTCGATCACGTCTCGGTCATGCGCGTACATGATAGACAGGAGGGAGGACAGTCAATGAGACGTGATTATCGCGGAAACCTGTCCCCGGTCTCCTCCAGTTTCTTCTCAGTTTCTGCCTCTTTTCCGTCGTCTCTCTCGAATCATAAAGTGCCGTCTGTTTTGTCGCTGCGACATGTCGGCGTGTGTGTATCGCGTAAGCTAATGGGTTCTCCATTCTGACGAAATAACCGTGTAAAATTACAAGCGCGACTGCGGTGTTTTATGCGCGAGGAAGTTACTTGAAGTAAAACGCCGTCCAATATACTCTCAACCAAGAGCGCGGTGTCGAACAATCGAGTATCGAGGGAAATGCGCGCCCCGTTCCCAATCTCGCGCGTTGTCCCGTTGCCGTCCTCTTCTCCGTTGAAAGCTCACGAGAGGGATCACCCGGATTTACGGCACGGGATTACTCGGCCGCGTATGTACCGGCGCGAAAATGATCGGGAAATCCCGTACAACCACGCGGAATTTCATTGGAAAAGCGAGCGCGGCGCTTCTCCCCTTGGGTTTAATCGAATGAAAATAACGCCCGCCCGTGTTCTCTCTACTTCACGAGCTTATTCTTTCCTTCTTCTTCTCTCCTCCTTCCGGTTTAGTCCTCCTCGTCCGCGCTCTGTGTGCGTGTAGAATACAGATATTTTAATCCAACGAACATCGGGCGATACCTCGCATGCGTTTCCGAATAACAAAAGCGCGCTCGAGAAAACCCAGCGTGCGGGAACACAAAGCGTCGATTTGCCGATTTTGCAATCGGATGTGCTGCATGTTACATATGTTGCCCGTTACGTCGGACGTGTATTCGAGCGCCGTCGAGCGCTAAGCGACATTCGTACGCACGCTTTGACCCCCCGTACAATCATACTTTTTTGGGACATGCAATGCAATCTGCATCTGTCAGACCCGGACAACCACGAACTACCACGCATGGAAAAAATAGTTTAGTTGAGTCAACCAAATATCTGGCGAAATATGATGGACGAACCAGAAATTCCGGTTGAAGTTATATCAGAATTCTTGTTCAAGTTAGTGAGATCTCCGGTTGATTAGAGCTTGTAAGTCTCAAGTTTATCACAAATTTTGTCATGCAACTAAAAAAAGTTTCAGTTTGGATAATTGAATGGGAAAACCAAACTCGCTGAGATAAGAAATAATATCTCTGTTACTGTGATCGAAAACATTCATCTGAACATTTAGCTGCATAGAAATTCGGCTGAGATAACTGAAAGATAATAGGCTGAGTAGAAACATTCTACGGGAAAGAACATAAAATTTAATGACACTAATGGAGTTGCTTTTTTCGTGTATTTCATGTATTATAATAAATCATAAATCATATTCCACCAGACACTTGGTTAATCCAACCAAACCATTTTGCTGTGTTGAAAATTAATATTTTTCTCAGAAATAAAGAAAAAAATCTCAGCTAAAATTGTAGTGCACACGCAAGAGAAGTTTGATTGAATGAATCAATTCTGGTGAAATATGAACGGTTCAACAATTTCCATTGAAATTACGAAAATTTTTTAATTAAGAAATTTATAATTCTAAATTTTAATAATTTTAATAATTTCAATCAGAATTTCCGCATCATATTGATATTTCACCAAAAATTGGTTAATTCCACCAAACTTTTTTCTGTGCAATAAAATCAAAAAATCCGCAAAAAGATTACGAAAATTAGCGAGCGATCGAATATTCGTTTGGCTCTCACAAATCCAACATTGTACACATAAAGGGCTGATATCTCGTAATTATTACGCCGACATTATCAGGGAATAACGACGACGGCGAAATTTGTCATTGCACCTGGCGAGGTTCAGTTATCGCGGCCGTGATAATTATGCGAGTCGGAGAATTTCGCGTGCGGTTGTCAACTTTAGCTTTTAATGAGGTTCACCACGTTTAATAAGCGCGGCGCGCAAAGGACCCAGGATTTGCATCGCGAAGGAACATTTGAAACCCGAGCTTAAACATTTAGCCTAGTCAACAATAGCGCTGTTGAGAAACAAGCCAGCTCGCGCCGCATTTCTTTTTTCTCTTATTTATTTGAGTTTGCATGAGCAATCCTCTCTCTGGAATGCAAATGAGTGTTGTACGGCATGCAAGCACAGCTCTTCCCCGCGGACGCCTCCTCACCTTCCTTTCCGACTCCTAAGCTACATTCTCTCGAAGTAGTTCTCAAAAAGTTGGCCAAAATTTCCTCGCTCGCGACATAGTGGCTGCCATTTGCAGAATATTCCGATTGTTCTACGTGAACGAGTTCGCGTCGTAGTATTCCGCGAAATTTTGCCCGACACAATGAGCGCAATAAAATTGATCGATAATATATTTTGCGCAATGATACAGAGAACATCTCGAACAAAGTTAACGCGTGTTGCTATAAACGCGAAACAATTCGCATCCTCGCGGAATTGGTAGCGGTTTAAGCTTTCGTTAATGCTCGCAGTTGAGACAAAACCCACGCGTAGTGAATAATAATAATAATCCACTGTTGCATTCGCGCGAAGTTTAATGCATGTAGGTCCCGTAATCTTTCGCGTTAAATATAATTTCGCGATTGTGAGCCGTTATCTCGCTCCGACGGTACGCAGCCGATTGCGGATCTTCGATTTCGCGTGATCCTCACGCGTGGGAGATAACCGCCGCGATGAAACATTTGTTGTCGTGACATTTTGGCCATTTTTTGGAATCTGACGCGATGCGCGAGATGAATGGCCTTGCCGGAAGCATGAAGCTCCCTAGCAAAGAACAAAAAGTCACGCGACCTTTCTTCTAATTTCCTGGGCGCTCGGTTGTTGCAGGCACACACTCCACTTCTCGCGGCCGACACGAGACACGTAAGTAGAAAGTTGGTGGAGCAAAAAGTAGCCGGGAGACAAGGGGGATCGTTAGCGAGTAGACCGCGACCGAGAGAGGAATCGCCGCCGTCACGTGCTCGCGTCGCGTTTTCTTTGACTTGGACGTTACTTGGCCGATAAAGTATGTCGACAAATGCCAGCCGGGGGCAGATCAATGCGGAGACGTCGTTTTATCGTTCGCCAACGTGAAAAGTTTCCTCGTAAGCTCGGTGAGAAGGAAACGAGGAAAACAGCTCGCCTCTTCTCGGGAGAGGATCTCTCTAATTTCATCACGTTTTACACCCACGGCGTGTCACATTCAACGTGGCCGTTTCTTTCTCTCGGCGCGGAATTGGGACGGATTTGCATATGATTGAACCGCGGGCGATAATGTCTCATTGGTAATCGGCGGGAATTTGTTCCATTAATTGCGCGGCCGACACAATTAACAATTCCCACGTTACAGCCCCTTGCATTTTCTGCAAATTAATCGCGCGCGGACCGGTTCGCTATGATGTAATAACACCAACGGCGATATCGCGATGTCCGGGCCTTTATCGCGGCCCGTGTGTCCAACCCGCGCACCTGGCATATAAATAAAGCGGTGTAAACCTGGAAGCGCCGCAATAACGCACGATCGCGTCGAATTTACTATTCGGCACGAGATCGTCCGTGCCAAACTTTCCACGCGCGCGAGAGAGAAAGCAAAAGTCTTGGACAATTGAATCAACGACGATTCGCACAGTCGCGAAGAGTCGTGGACATTCGCAATCACAAGAGAAATGATTATTCAGTTTATTTCTTTTCTTCAGGTTATCTACAGCGAAGAGTATGTTTTTATAATACTCTTAATACTCTTCATGTACTTATCAAATTTTGAGAAAACTCATTATCATGCACTTAAAAGAATTAATTTTTTTTACAAGAATATCATAAAATATCATAAAATCGAATATTTGTTCTAATTGAATATTCTTCGTTGAAATATGCGAAACTTATACTAGGATTCAGGATGTATCTTGAGTAATGTAATGCTCGTAATGAGCTTAGGATAGGTTCGCGGATGCATGAACTTATGAAATATTTGAAACAAGTAACGTTCACTCGAATGCAGCATGCCTTCTTCTGCAAAATGGATCGCATGCCGACCGACCGAACGACCGACTCTTGCGCGCATTTCGAACTTTATCGCAACATAATTGCAGTTTCATATCTCTACCGCGGCGGCTCCCCATAAATTACACGCGCAAGAAGAGACGTAACAGCTAATTATTTGTCCCCAAGTCATTAGCGCTAACGATTTCCCTCCCCCCCTCTCCCACATGCTTCTCACTCCTATCCTCCCCACGCTTTTCCATCCCTTTGCAGCCTGTAGAATGTTCTAATCTACGAGCAACGATTTCGTTCGCGACATGCCGTTCCTTAATCACCATTTAATCGGTTAACTTCGGCGATTATTATCCGCGTATCTTTAAGCGTCTCGAGCGCTATCGACGCGTTGGATCCGGAAGTATTCGGCCCGCCGCGAGTTTCCTCTACCTTCCCCTCTCCCTCTGTCGCACGCGCGCGCATCCGAAAATCGATGCCGTAATGTATGTAGGAAACGGTGTCATCTCTGCTTCCTTCTGAGCGCTCGCTTCCGACCCACGTCGAGCGGTCTCGTCCAATTTGCCGCGAAATTAATCCAGTCGCTTCTTGCGGTAGTTCGCCGGGACTTTAATGACTCGTCTAGCCCTAAGTGATTACCAACGTTGCTCTTGGAGATTTCGCGTCTGTGAAATCTATCTTAAGCCCCGTCCTACATAGCTCGCAGAACGCAAGACGCAGGTCGCAAGCACAGACGTGAGATAACGTGTCCGCTCACGCAAGTCACGCGTATTCGGTTGCACCCTCGCGTTTCACGAGTGCAGCGAGTCGATTCGACTCGGTTGCGTCTTGCTTGCGTTAACGCCAGTCGCGGGGAAAAAGAAACTTCGAAGAAAGTGTGAGGTTATTGTCTTTGCAAAACAGATCGAATCTATTTTGTAGTCGGTAAATTCGTCCGTTGCATTGATAGATATGAGCGCAAGTATATATCGGACCTCTGAAATAACTGGCCAATTAATTACGTTGGTATTACCACAATGAAAAGTAATTTTGAAAAAATCGATAGATACAAATGTAACCTTTTATACGCTGCGTGCCACTTTTGCGTTCAATATAGATATTCTTCTCGCGACGTGTGACTTGCGAACTGCAAATGCGTTTTGCGTATCCTGCGGCTTGCGAGCTATGTAGACAGAGTTCTATGTTTATCTATCCGTTCGCGGATTTGCGTTCCTAACAAATCTTTTTTCGCCGAGGTCGGTCTCTGCTTCTTTTCTTTTCGACTTCGCGACGACACGTTGATTTTCCTCGTGGCGCTGGATGGGCTTCGACTCGATTCCCGATTGGGACGAACGAGTTGATCGCACGCGATCACGCAACGCGAAATCGCAACGACAGCAATTCGCATTCGCGAGGTATCGCGGCCGCGCCGCTCGACATGGACGCTAAATCCCGATAGTCGAGAAGCTTAAAATAATTAGCCCTCGGCGTACGAGTTAAGCTGCAGCTAACCGCGCAGACCGACATATACAGCTCCACGTCGCTTATACGCGCGCAAATATTTCCCTTCGGGCGTGCGTGCGTGCGTGCGTGCGTGCGTGCGTGAACACGCGCAGCGCCGACGAATAAAATATTCGTCGCCGTCATCGCGCAGATCCGAGCATCGGGCTAATTAACTATCGCGACGCATATACGAATTGATCGTTTAATCGTGACATCGCGCTATTAACTCGTGGACACGCACATTCTCGTCGGTATTACACGCTCGGCTCGTTATTTGACGAATTAGAACCAGCATCGAACATCGACAAGTGTTAATGTTCGCGTGACGCTAAGAATAGACATGAAGCTACTTTTGTTTCGTATAAGCGCGCCAAAAAAAGAGTTGTGTGTCGTGAACTTTGACGATCGCGTCGCGCGCGCGTCTATACTCGCGAACCTCTGCTGAGACGGACTCTGCTTAGTCCTGAACGGATTTCAACCCTTTGGTTACGACGCGACAGCCTCTCACTCTTCCTACGACTTCCTGCGATACGCTACACCGGCTGCTGCTATTTTAAGACATTATTCATCCGGGGTTGATTAGTCCCCGTTGGCCGGCGGCCTTTTAAATCACCCTTGTCTCTCGAACGTGCAAACACCCCCGCGTTACCTCTTCCTCAAAAGTTCCGCCAACCAGTTCCTCCTCGGGGAAGATTCATAGCGGGCCTGATTCGATTTGCAACACCGTTTGAAATTCAGGCGAGGGCGTATTTCATTCGCCGACGCGCTTGAGCGAGAGGAGGAGGGTCGAGAAGGTTACCGAGGGGGAGGGAGAGGGAGAGGGCGGCCGGTGAATATCGAGCTTGCCAAATGGAGTAAACTGCAGCCTCCGGCTCGTGTAATCTTCCGGAAGTCGCCGTCTGCCGTCGATTATCTCCTCTCTCTCTCTTTCTGCGTCCCTCTCTCCCCTCTGCTCTCCCTTTCTCTTTTCGTTTGTCGCTTCGTTTCCCTCTTCTTGTCTCATCACCCGTTCGCCTGCCTAGTTCCGTGCCGTTTCTCCCCTTGGCCTTGGCGGTAAATCAGGCGAAAGGGGTGCCGTAGTGATCCAGCGAAATGAAGCCAAGTCGTTTTTACGGGGCGCGACGACGCGAGAATCATATTTTCCGGTGGCTCGCCAGAAAACTGTTTGCGTTCTCGTCGCCGCGCGGTAAAATCTCGCGCCAACGTCGCGAAATGAATATCTCACATGAATAGAAAAGTTCACAGCGCGGCGCTCAACAAATTCCACGGGCGATAAGTCAACATGTTCCCGGGACACATCAGTTCTGGTGCTCATTTCTTTAGGATTACGCGCGTCGCATATTTCCCTGACTGTCGAATACGCCTGGGAGAAGAATCCACTTTTTATATAATCTGCGTAAAAAGCAGTAGATGTTACTAGTTAGTTCGACGCGGGCGACGATAACGACGTCGCCGACATGATAAAGCCCAATACTTTTTACGACGCTTACATAAGAGATGATCGTAGACGCAGCGTATTGCATTATGTCGCCGAACTTGGAATCTACCTGAGTGAAAATTTCGATCACACAATTTTTCTCTCGCATATTTTCCCCCAATATATAATATTACATATAACACTACAAATTTTGTTGACATTGGAAGACTAATAGAGAATCTGGAGGTATAACACTATGGCCCGTGTTAGTAGTAGTCGTCAGGTTTGAATTCAGATGTGAATTTTTCATTTAACAAATATAATATCACATAGAGGAGAGTTGCCGTATCGATCTCCTAAATCGCACCTTATCAAACGTACTTGATCTTTTTAAACGTTTCTAGCACGGAAAGATACAATCTGTAAATATTTCGTTTATATTTCTCATTGCTTATTTATTTCTCATTTTTACCGTTGCTCATATTCAATAATAATAAAGAAATCGATGAGGTACGATATATGGATGAGGTAACTTTTCCTTGTATTATACAATCCAAATAAAAATCTCACGTGACTCTAAATTCAAATTTCTCTGAGTGACTCACTTGTCTCACTTGTCTCACGTGTCAAACAAGTCTCACGAATATTAATACGGGCCTATGTATATACACTACACACTTTTGACATTAGAAATCGTTTGCGTGATCAAACTCCTGACAAGAGGGCGACGTTGAAATTATATTATTAAATCATTATCGTGTCCTGTCAACGAGAGTTGAACACGCGCAGTTGCCCTTGTATCTCGGGACTGGAATATCGTGACGTGGAGGAGCGATCACCGGAGAGCACGTCGGCGAGATAATTTCGTTCTTGCTAATGAGAACTGCAACGTTCCGAAACGCTTATCCGCGTGAGTCGTCCAGAGAGGATCCATTTTCCGCGCGGCAAATCTGGCGACTTCGATCCGGCGGCCCGAAATTCGGCGCTCGGCCACAGCTCGGCTACGTTCTCTCCCGCGGGAAAACCTCCCATTCCGCATTATCCCAAGCCGTCGAAATCCCGCTTCCATCAGGACCTTCATTCCACCTCCCTTCAACCACCGTGTGTATTCCCGTGCCAATATTGCGTCCCAGTCATAATGTTTATGAGCGCGCCTCAAGACGCGATTAAATCTTCGTCACCGTGGCAACGTTAAAACGTCGACGGCGCATTAAAAATATACATCCGCCGGGACAATTAAATCATCGTCGGAGCTTATGAAGTCGCCTGCTGAACTCTACAATCTCCGTCGTTGATCTAAGTGTATCACTTTGAGATTGATTAATAACGTCGCGCTTCTTCATCACGTGCGAATATTTTGACGATTCCGGATTGAACGTTAACGCGCGCGCGTGTGTCTGTACACACACATATGAAACTATGATAATCTATCCGATATTTATTTCGTTCCGGATTAGTTAGATATTCCACGCTATGTATTATCGGGCGTGTGTTCATCGGAATAATCGATACCGCATCTCCCGATACCATCCATTAGCGGTTAGGGATCATCGGCCAGTAGCTCATGTTGATTACCACGTGGTGTTCCTCCTGGCACTTCCTGCGCTTCCGCCCTATAGCGTTGCGCATTATAGGCTGCCAGTATCATAACGGGACATGTCGTATAAATCACATCGAATGACGTGCATGCGTCGCTTTCCCTCTCTCTCTCTCTCTCTCCTCTCTCTCTCTCTCTCTCTCTCTCTCTCTCTCTCTCTCCCCTTTCTCTCTCTCCCTTTCTCCCAGTACGTCCCTTGACGTCGACGCAAATTGCCGACATTAGTCGTTAGTGACGGATCATGACTGACCCTTCCGTTTCGAGGAGATCGCTGCCACCGCTGCCGCCGTCGTCGCTGCCCTTCGATTTCGCACGTCTAATAACTCAATCCTGTTAATATTAGCCGGTTCACATTCGCTTCTCGGCGGCAATCTAGGCACAATACTTTTACACCGAGGAAGGCTCCTTCAGCTGCTTCGCGGTCACTTTGACGTTCTTCCCGCGTTTCCATCGTTACCTGCGTGCGTCTTGTCCGTTTCTCCTGCTCTCTGACACTTTCGGATAAAGAAACGTTTTTTCACCAACAGAACGTTTCGCCCTGCGTTTCGCTTCACGCTGCATTTCGAGGAACCAACGTTCGAATCGGCGTCGGGGCGTCAGCGTAACATGTTTTTCTTCGGCTCTTAATGATTTTTCCGATACGCGCGGCGTCCTGCGTGCCGGCGATCGTTTATCTTGATTTCACAGAGGATACTCTGTTGCGGTTCGCACGAGGCGCGGAATTTATATTAATGGTGGCACGCATGGATATTAGGCGTAATTACGCTCTTCCGCCGCGAACGCCGCTCACCGTGCGCGAGAGACTCGCGCTCGTGAAACAAAAAAAAAGAGAATAAGAGAAATAAAAAATAATATATAACGCTTGTTGCCGCGGGACGCACCGAGACAGTTTGCCGGACACTTTGTTGTGGGAAGTGGTGTTTTGAATGAATCGAGACACGTCGAGTCCAGCCGCGCTTCTCGTTATCTCTCGCCCTATTCCGGAACGTGTGCCCCGTTGTTTTCGCAACTTTTGTTAACGCTGATCGCACGTCGACGCTCTAAATAATTGTTTTTACTCCCGCAATCAACCTTTCACCACCACGTTTGCCCTTAAATTAACGTAGCAATAACCGTCAGCGTACTATGCAAAAATTATCCGAGAAAGTTTTTTCGCTCGCGTGCGCAGCGTTAACGGAGCTGGGGAACGTCGTTAAAATCGGCATCGTCCCGAGCTCAGCCGTCGCTCACGAGCGGAGAGGTACATTTTCCGCGCGAGTTTTCGACCGTGCCAGTGAATATCAAAATAACCGATTAAGCGCGCACGACAGCAGCGGCACCGGTGTGTTCGGCCGGAAAGATTTGCTTTGGAATTAGGGCACCCGCAGCACATCCCAAACTGCCTGGACTGGCACACGCAGATACGTTCTCCGCAGGTGCATAAACTTTAACTCGCAAATTCTGTAATCGCCACGCTCGGCCCGCCCGTTGCATCCGGGCGAATTGCAAACGCGTCGTGGCAGATTCGCGTCCATGCGGTCGCATCGCGAGAGCGCGATCGATTCGATCGGGCGGTCGAAAAAGGCGCTTTGCCTCGTGATTTCGCGCAGTAATCGCATGTATCAAGCCGATTCCCACGAGAGAGAGAGAGAGAGAGAGGAGAGAGGGACAAATGTGAACGCGATACGTATCGAGATCGATGTTTGACGATGGACTTTTCGCGATGGATAATCTCGCGCTTGATAAAAATAAAAACGTGTCACTCGAGCGAATAATTTCTGCATCTCTGTTGTAGGATCAAATAATGCCATAAAAATTACAAAATAGCATGTCAGCGTGTACGAAACGTGTCGCGAATCGAAGCTTATTACGGATATCGCGCAAGCGAGGGAGGGAGAGATAGAAAGAGGAAGATAGCTTGAAGGTGTCGTAAATATTAATCAGGTTCAACGAATATCTCCAGCGCGCAGAAATAATTAATGCCTCGGCGGATGTGAATAATCCACTTTTATAAAACGTTCGTCCCGCCTCCGGCGATCGATATCCGGCGGCCGGAGTTTATGAATTGATTTATGAAGGAGGAAACGTCCGGGCGCTGGTTTCCAGAGACGGTTTGCCCGCATCTGAAAATTGGAGAATATTATCATAATGTATTCCGGCTCATCTGCATTGGAATTACCGAGCAGATAAGGACCGGCAGGGTAGGAGGGAGGGAGAACACTCGATATGAACGCGGGTTAAAAGTGCGGCTGATTTTCCCCCGGGAAAATAAGCGTATGGTAAACCAGTTGTCGGAGTGTGTACGCGGTCGCGCGCGCACACTGTTTTCCGCTCGAAATTTTCCGTACTGCACACGTCGTTAATTTACCTCTCGCCCGCGGTTATTATATCCCAGTTTACAATAGGATCATTTGAACGCGGCGGAAACATTGACGTTGCGAAAAATTGCCATTGCCGGCGAATTTTTCCTATGGTATACGCGCGATGCAACGAGAAACGTGAGAACGTGAGGATAGTGTGTGCGCCGTGCGTGGAAAGAGGATGAAACGAGTTATTATTTTAACAATTACACGACGAGACGACAACGACGACGACGGGCAAAATGAATTATACATGTTTCATGCCCTTAGGGAACCTTTATTTAGCAGTAAGTTAACATCAAACGAACGAAAACGAGCGAACGAGCGGCGCCGTCCGCGGACGCGATGAAATCTAAAACCCGAGGAGTGTATTTAGGTCGACTCGGTTGTCTCTGGCAGCCCGTTCGTCCTGACTTTTTCAAACTGGCCGGACAATTTCCGCGGGTTTATCTTCGCGAAACTTACTCGGCGCCCGCGCGCACGTAAAGCCTGTCGAGTAATTTGAACGAAAAGTCAACTCCGGGGCTCTTTATTTTGCTTGCCGTTTCGGCGCTTCAACGTTCGCAAGGAACTACTGCGTCCCGCGAATCGACGAAATCGAGACGAACAAACTCACGGTGTTATTTCATGCTCATTATATCAGTTTGGATACTATTAAAAGCGCGGGGCGCTGTTATAATTATAAAACACACAATTGAGAAAAAAATATTTAAGAAAGAAAAAAAATATTGCAGTGAAAGAATAATAATAACATAGTTATTTTGTACTGATACAAAATATTTTCCAAATAAGGAAATATACATTTTCTTAAAATCTGAGCTTTTCATGCAATAAATTGAGAACAAGCAATAAATTGTCTGTTCCCTTCACCTAAAAAAGAATTGAGATTTATATTTAAGTAAATATGTTACTATATTATATTTAAGTAAATATGTTACTAGTTCTCACCGAATAAATATTTTTTGTTCTTCAGATATTTTTTCTCTCATTAAAACGCGTCTGATCATTTTACAAATTATTTTTCGTGCGCTCCTGTTTCCATCTGCTTAAATATCAGAAAATATTTAGTCGTCCAAGTATTAACGAGATTGATTATTTTGTAAATAATATAAAAAGTATTTATTTAGAAATATTATACCTATTATTTTACATGTTTCTCCTAGAGTTTGAGACATTTTTCCTAAATCTCTAGAAGTTCCTTTATACTCTTGTCAAACAAGGTTTTCTGGATCGCGTATACATCCAATTTTGCACGTTGTCAATAATTTCTAAATAATCCTTGTCCTTGTCTAAATAAATCCTCCCACTTAAAATGCAACCAAGATTCTCTCTTTTTCTGTGACATCAACTGCAATGTCATTCACTACCGAGGCTAAAACACTCCTCCCTTCCTCTTCACAAGTGATACGTTATCCAAATTTGATCGTAGCTGCGCCGGTTAAACATTTAGTCCGGGCGACCGCGATAAATCTGGCGTTTGAAAGTGGACGAGACGTTTCGCGGATAACTGGGACGTGGGTCTTATCGCGCCCGGCCGAACGTCGGCGTCGCGAACCTTAGACACAATTAATCTTTGTGACGGCGAATCTGTTTACCAGCCGATACATACACAAAAGCGCGCGGTTTCGACGCAAACCCATTCACCGTAACGCCGCCGCCGTCGGATATCTCGTTGTGCTAAGCGCCGTCGGGCGCGGGAGGAGGCTGGGGGACGCCGGGATGCGTCGTTGCACCTGCATGGATTTCGGGATGGCGCGGAATAAGGTCGTAAACTCCCGGGCGTAAACCGTAAATGGTACGTGCCGGAGTAGAATGAAGTTCACCGTTGAATCGGAAGAGCCCGGGCCGATCGCCTCGATCGAGCGAGCGAGCGAACGAACGAACGCTGCTGGTCGGACCGCCTCGTTCGATCTACGTAAAGCGAAACGCGCAACACGAGACTGTAACTCAGCGACGGGATTACCAGTCAAAACTACTAGAGAGTTATACGGGCCACGGAATCGCTTAGTTCGTCTCTTTTCCGCCGGAAACTATTGCACCCGCACGACGACGATCATGTACCCGCGCGCCAGTTCCGACGATCATGTACCGTCATGATCGCGCGTTCCTCCGGAATATTACGTGAATCTTGGTTTTCGTCGAACGACTCGGGTGTCAGCTTGCTCGAGCCTTGACTTTCAATTGTTTAATTTCAATTTGTATATTCCTTTTATTTCATATGTGCTATTTACATCTCAAAAACTGAAATGCTCTGTTAAACTTGATGTGTTTCCAGCGGAATACGCTAGATTTCCAACGTAGAAATTGACTATAAGTTTCTTTGCAAAGTAGACCTTACTGATAGTCTATTTCTACGGACTACCAAAAGCATAATACAATTGAAAGGAATTCATGTGAGAAAAGAAGAACTATATAGTATTCTCTCCGCGTTGTACTTTTTTCTTGGCACAGATATACAAGTATAGTTTGTGTCTAAATATACTTAGAATTATCAGAGCTATCCAGTATTATCCAGAGCGAACAGTAAATCGGGATTAGTACACAAATGTTTCGTACCAACGCTTTATCACCGTCTCTTGCGCCCCCGTGTGTATGGACCGAAACACAATATAATTAGATCCCGCGCGGTGGAGCTGGGATGCGTCAATCCCTGGACGGGAGCACATTCTCATTGGCCAACTACTTGGGGGATAACGACGCTCTAAAGTGTCTTGATTTTCGTGGAAATTCCCGAAAAGCGGAGCGCGCGAGGGGTGTTCGGTACTTTACCTCGCCCCGACAAATTCTCGCGGCGTGAGTTTATTGCGCGAGGGGGTCTTCCCGAGCATTCCGCGGATTAACTCGTCAAAGTGTCCCCCAAGAAACCGTCCGTGTATGCAACTATGCGGCGCGAGACCGAAGTTTACCGCCGCCACCTTTGCGCTGCGACGTGCATTATTTGTTTCCCCCGTTTCGACTCACGACGCGTAATCAGAAATTACGAGTGTCGCGGGGAAGTAATTAGAAATTTGTGCAATTTCGCTCATCACCATCGCGGGAACCTCGAGATATCTTGGAAGACCGTCGCAGTTTTCAACGACAATATTAGAGGAATAAAACGACTCATTCTCTCTCTCTCTCTCTCTCTCTCTCTCTCTCTCTCTCTCTCGCGGTAAATGAAAAGGAACATTTATCCGAATTTCCGATCCGAACATCCGGAGAAACGTTTCCTCGCGACACTCAGAACGCAACAGGAGAGACAGAAAGCACGAACAGCTCATCCGATCTTGGGAAACAAAAATTGAATTTTCCCCACACGCCAGGCGGTAATGAGAGGAAAAAGGGCGCAACGCGCTGCATCTGTATAAGTAATTCGCTCGATCGATTCGGCGCCGAGCAAGTTTATCGGTTGCACCGTCGCCGCGAATAGCTGCACGAAAAAACTGCAGAGATAGGTAGAAACAGCGATCGATTGATCAATTGAGCGTTGATTTCTCGTTCTAGGACAATCCTACGAGAACGTGAACACAGTCATACAAGAGTATTTTAACACGCACGTTTTACAGATATATAATTTTCTTTAACACACAAGAAGCTACATTATGTTGAAAATAATTGTCTGATTTGACAAGAAGAAAAATCAAAAGAGAAAGAGAGACAAATTGCGAGAGAAGCGAAGCGACGAGGATCATCGGGCGAGGAATAATATGCCGGATTACTCGGCCAAATTGCGTCACGAGAGATATAAAAGCGCTCGCACTTCGCGCCTCGATTCAATAGGCAATCTCGTCGAGAGGCAGATGCGATCGCGCGTCTCTGATCGCGCCTCGGTTCATGGCGTTACACGACCAAACCCGTGCGACACGCGTCGTCCCTCACGTGAGAAATCGTTCGCCGTTGCCGCTCCGCGTTATTATTGCGCCGGAATCGCTTGTTCTCCCATGTAATCCGATAAAGAGGCACTACATACGTACCGTCCGGATTTTTACGGCCTCTACGAGAGTAAGCAACCTTTGACAACCCTTTTCGCGCCGAGAGAGAACGCCAGCGCAGTGGCGGGAAAAGAATAGGAAAGAAAAGGCAGCCGGACATGACTGGGATAAGATGGCCGGCACTTCGGATTCGCCCGAAAACTTGGAGCCTTTAGCGCGGTCCGCTTGCTGACGCGGTGTACAGGATTGGAATAAATTTACGACCCTTGGTGCCTCGTATTAAGCATTCTGATCTTCCCCTCCGATCCAGTCTTCCATTGTTAAGAGTTCCATCGATTCCTTGCCAGTCTATCCTGAATCTAATTATTACGTTACGATAAACGGGATATTTACTTATTTATTTATGAATATAGTCGGTAAATTGGAGAACGGTGGCTTCACTATTGCCACATTTAATCAATAGTTAGCCAAGATTCTGTTTAAAAAAACGTACAAATACGTAGAACCATTTACGACCGCTCGATGCGGTTAATACTCTTTCCAAAGAAGACCGTCGAGTTTCCAACGAGGAGCAATCGTCACTTGTGTGAACTTGGCACACCATATTAAAAAATGTGACATTTTTTTTAGAGTTCTGATACTCTCTTGAAAAGTTCTAGAGCTCTATGCAACAATTTTAAATAGTTCCGGTCATTAAATACAAAAAAATAGACTTTCAAAAAAAGGTGCGCTAAGTTCTCGCAGGGCACCTAATCAGTAAAATTAACTATTTCTTTAGAACTATTGTTATATATGATATAGAACTCTAGAACTATTGTAAAACAAACCGGAACTCTAAAGAAATAGTTAATTTTACTGATTAGATGCGCTGCGTGAAGTTAGCGCACCTTTTTTTGAAAGTCTATTTTTTTGTATTTAATGACCGGAACTATTTCAAATTGTTGCATAGAGCTCTAGAACTTTTCAACGGAGTATCAGAACTCTAAAAAAAATTTCACATTTTTGAAAATGGTGTGCCAAGTTCACACAGACTTGGCACACCATATTTAAAAATGTG